CCCCCCCCCTCCCTCTAGCATCATTTGCTTCTCTTTTCCACTGATTTCAAGAAAAGCCATCTGACATTTCCCCCTAGAATCACTATCTTTCCATCCATATTGAATACTTAATCAAAACTAAAGCAATTCTCATATTTAATTAATTGTTGAATTATTGGAATAATCATTGAATTTTTCGAATTAAATCCAATTTCTAACATAAAAGAGGTAAAAGTATAAACCTATCGTCGTCCAATAAATGTATTTTTTAATCATTTTAGCTTCTCTTTTTAATATTACGATTAAATTACGAAAGATATTTTTTTTTGAGAGGGAAATGTCAGAAGGCTTCCCTCACATTTCTCCCTAGAATTGCTCGCCTTCCATTCTCATTAAATACTTCATAAAAACCAAATCAGTCAATTTTCATATTTAATTAATTGTTTAATTATTCGAATATCTGTTGAATTTCTCGAATTAAATCCTATCTCTAACATAAAAAAAGGGAAAATATGAACCTAGCGCCGTCCAATAAATTTATTTTTTAATAATTTTCTCTTCTCTTTTTAATATAACAATTAAAAAACAATCCTCTCGACGCTTCAACTTCTCCGGGCATGACAATACACGATCTCCGGAAGAAATATCGAAAGATATTTTTTGTAGAGAGGGAAATGTCAGAAAGCTTTCTTTGTAGATGAAGAAAAATCTTCTGAAATTTCTCCCTAAAATGACTCGCCTTCCATTTATATTAATTACTTCATCAAAACCAAACGAGTCAATTATCATATTCCATTAATTATTATTGAATTATCTCAATAACACACAATTTCAGGAAAAACTTCCCGTAAATAATTTCATCTGAAATTTCGCCCTAAAACCATCCATTTAAAGAAAGAAATCACAACGGACATTGAATATGAAGAAGAACCGGAAGTGGTGAAGCTAATCATCGAAGAAGAAATCTTCAGCACCGACACAAGCACGAAATACGACACACAGAGGGCGACAGAGTCCCATCAACTAAATTTCCAAAGCAATTATCCCAGAAGGTAAATGAATTAAAATTCAAAAAACTGCATTTTTGCCTCATAAATATATTATTCCTCACATTTTCAACCGTCGACATCAAGACGATCCTTGCGACATAAAAACATCAAATACATAATTAGAAAGTAGAAAAATAAATAAATAATCGCTCTAGACATTGAAAATTTTGACATAAACGTATAAAAATTAACAAGTTAATGGACTTGAAGAATCAGCGAAGACGTTTTAGCATGTCCTCGGAATACTGAATATATAATACGGTCTCCTAGGGCCTGGGAATGGCTGAAGTATCTTTTAAATCACAAAGAAGCTATTTGAGATCGTCTTCCTTCCCTGGGATGTTCGCTAGTCGTTTTTCCCCGTTGATGATTGTCATTAGATTAAACCATTGTGAATTGACGACTTCTCTGGAGATTTCGGTAGCGAGTTTCCCGGGGGAGGCACGTTGGCGTTAAATCCGAGCATTTGAGATTATCGGTGCTGCAGCCGAAGCATCTCTCGCACAAGCAGTACATTCCGTCGCCGCAGGTGCCTCGGGCACCACAATGCTCATCTGGGCCCTGAAATGAGGAGTTTAAAGTTCAAGGGAGGCGTTAAAATGTGATACGTCATATGACGTCACATGATCCAATTTTTTAAAATGATTTTTACGATTTTTATGATTTCTTTGATTTTTATAATTTTTATGATTTTTATGATTGTTATTATTGTTATGATTTTTATGATTTTCATGATTTTTATGATTTTTTATGATTTTTATGATTTTTATGATTTTTATGATTTTTATGATTTTTATGATTTATATGATTTTTGTGATTTTTATGATTTTTGTGATTTTTATGATTTTAATGACTTTTATGATTTTTGTGATTTATATGATTTTTGTGATTTTTATGATTTTTATGATTTTTGTGATTTTTATGATTTTTATGATTTTTATGATTTTTATGATTTATATGATTTTTGTGATTTTTATGATTTTTATGATTTTTGCAACGACCGCGGAGATATTTAAAAAAATCTCGAAATGATATTTTTCTGTTCATAAAAAGATCAGTGAAGAAATGGGAAATCTCAATTTCATTGAATTACTTTTCGACACTCGAGAACTCCGCAAAACGGTGAGTAAGCCACTCCGTATTCACAAGCCTCGCATTCATCCCCACAAGGACGACATCCAGCTCTTTCCACGTCACGAATCCTCAGGGCGGGATGACACAAGACACCACTGTAACAAAAACAGTTGGATAATTCCTCTAGTTTATTAAAGATTGCTCTTAATTTACTTTTATCACCTGGTTTTGTGTCTTGATAAAAAATCCAATCGTTAATGATTCAATTGTATTGACAATCATTTAACGAAAAACGTAGAATCGGCTAAAACCTAACATAAATTGAATGGAAATCCGATAGAATTTCCTATTTCATTCGCTAGGGTTTTCTGAGAATTATTTTCATGCGTGATATTGCACTCGAAAAAAAATTAAACCATAAATTTTGGCGATGGAAATACCTCTACTTGCAGGCAAAATACTCACGTTGGTAGAATGGCGAGAAACGCAACCATGCTGATTGCCTGGATGGTCAGCATCTCGTCCGGTGTGCCTGTGAAAATCCAGACAAACTTTCGTAAATTCCTTAAAAGTCGAGATAAGGCTCATGACTGCGGCAGACACGCCCGTCTCTCTACGTAGAAATGATTTCCCTCATTAAAGAATGACATCAAATGGTCTCATTAAATTGTCTAATGGGATCACGAACAACTTTAATGGTGCCAACACTCGTTCTATCCGCAATCTTGTCATGTGATTCCAAGAGAAATTTCAATTGTCATTTTAAGTCGTAATTTTAAGTGAGAATTTTCAGGCGCTGAAACTCGATTTTATGTGTATAAAAACAAAGAATTAGGGGAATAAATGATTCCTTATTTGTTTGTTTTCCCTGTAGACGCTTTTTATTATTTTTCAAAAAATGTATAATAACATTTTTTGTAGAATAACAATTAACAATTATTTTTTCTTCAATTTGACCTCTAAGTAGCCAATTTTGGTTTTCTAAAAACCAAAAGTTATTTTTAAATTAATAACGTACATCTGTTTAATTTTGGAAGAGCTAATTTTTTCTCCCAGTGTATCAGTTTTTAATTAATGTCACTACTTTTTAACGGATGAAACCTTTTAACATCAATTATACGTTTCACTTTTCACTAAAATATTCTGTGAGAACTAGCAATCATCATTCTCTTTGGTTTACACTGAGGGAAATAAATAGTTCTACCGCAAAATTGTGTTCCACTGAAGAGATCGTTTTGTGTTCCACGTGGAAGATACAGTTTTTCGGAAGAGCGAATTGTTTCTCCCCGTGTATCAATTTTAAATCACACTGTTGGAAATTGATTGAAATTTCATGCACGGAGAGAAATATTCAATAAAAATTAGTGTAAAATGTGGTTGTAGGAAATTTTACGGAACTGTCACAGAATTTTTCCAGAGCGTTCCGTAATTTTTATCTGAATCTCCTGTGAAAAATTACGATACCGTCACTTAAATTTTCTGACTCGATTCCGTAATCGATGAGCGAACTGTGAGTTCCGTAATTTTTACTGAACATTTCTCTCCGTGTGGAAGATGTTATAGTAAATTTCATGAGAGTGACATTAAATTGGATTTAGAGAGAAAATGGTTATGAAATTTCAAGTTTTAGGTGAAATTCACGGATATTCATGAGTTTTCAGTGGGAGTGAAATGGAAATTTCACAACTTGATTGAATTTTCAGTGGAACATGCATATTCAGAAACAAAATTACATGAATTTTCATTTTTTTTTCCTGAATTTTCACGGAATAATTGAACTGAAAATCAATAGAATATTTATTTTTCGACGAGAAAATTCCCTGAAATTTCAATGGAACTTGAACAAGATAAAAATTTCCGGAATTTGGCACGGAGAATTCGGACAGAAATTGTTAACAGAGTGTCATTATTTATCAACAGATGAACCCCCTTAACATCAATTACATCTTTCACATTTCACTAAAATATTCTGCAATAATTATCAATCATTGTTCTCATCCGTTTATCGAAGCGACCACAATATTTGGCGGTTCTCGAATAACCACTCCTCGATAACCACGTAAAATCATCGTTATGCCATAATCCCCGCGATAACAAAATGAAAACAACAAAAAACGAATGCACTGTCACTCTTTCCTCATTCTATTTAAATTGAATCTAAAGTTAAACTTTGGATTTGTTGATTTCCTGATTCCAACAGTGTTTACGTTATTTCCTAATGCATGTGGAAGTGACATCGATGCCGCGTGGCTGCACAGCGACGAAAGTCCCCATGGGGGGTTATCAGCAATCGGAGAGAATGGAGTCACTATTATTTACTGTATGATTTCACTTACAATGGGAAGTTTTCGGCTCTTTTGAAATCCTTTCGAGGAAATACAACACTAGTGTTGACTCGCCCAACTGTTTTGCACGCGAATTCTTGAGGATTTTATCCATAAGATGATTTATGTTCTGTTCGTCAAGGCTTTGACTCTAGATTTTTCACTGGACTTCGGTTATTTTCAATTATTTCCATTTTTTTGATAAATTACACTTAAAAACAACTATTGGTTACTTTTATCTTCGCACGTGAAAAAAAATGGCAGAAATGTGTGTTTTCATTGGAAATCTACGGAACATGACTTTTGATTAATAGTTTTATGGATTTTTACTGGAAATTTCACTCATTATGTTCAATTTTTTTGTTGAAATTGCACTTTACGAAATTTATTGTTCAAAATTTTCATCGTTGCACAGAAAAAATGTTGGAAATGTTTACATTTTCATTGTAAATCTACATAACATGTTTTTTAATCACTGGCTCGATGCACTTATACTAGAAATTTTACTAAATAGCAGTTGTTTTTAGTAAATTTGAATTTTTTTGCGCTTTACCATTATTATTATTTTTTAATTCAACTAAAAAGTCTACTGTTTAAATATATGATCGATAAAAAATTGAAGAATTGTCCAAATTTTTCATGGAAACACTAAATTATCACATTTTAAAAGGAAAAACTTGGGAATAAAATTGAAAAAATAAATTAAAATAAGTTAAAAGATGAAAATGTGAAGGAATTTCAGAGACGACACGACAAATTGACGCGTGCAAGGGGCAGTCTGCGACCGCAGTGTCAAGGAAGCACTCATTCAGGGGTAAACATTGGCCCCCACTCCGATTATCTTTTCACCAGAAGTGAAAAAGGTTTAATGAGGTTTTACCCCCCTCTTCTTAATGACGAGACAGAAAGAGGGATTGAGACTAGACGTCGGTCTGGATATGTGCAACCTTTCACTCTTGACTCTCTCGTGAGGCGCCTTTATCGCAACTCACGAAATCTTTAAATACGAAATTTCGAAATTCCACGGAATTATCTTAATTTATTTTCCCCAAATTTAATTTTTTAATAAGTCCGCCGTTAACCGTGGGGGAGTTATCTTCACGGATGCTGATGTGGAGGCGCAATAAATATTTCGATTGCAAGTGGAAAAATTACTGATCAACTTCGACCCCAATTTGTGGGTTTAATCATGTAAAAAATTGTTGCATTGATTGTTCAAAAAATTATTGAAAATTATAAAGTCATGATTTTTTCGTAAAAATGACAATTGGGAATTGAAATTAATATTTCTTAAAAAATAAAAAAATTGATTGTTTATAAATTCAAATGATCGTAATTAATATCTTTAGCAAATGGTCTTGAGAGTAAAAAAAAATACTGAAATGCGGAGAAAATTTTGTGTCGTAAATTCTCAGCGATGGAATAATCTGAAAGATGTCCTAAAAAAATTATTCCTTCTGTAGAAACCAGGTGAAGCGAGTTGAGGGTGATCTGAAGATGATAAACAATTTTTAAAAATGTTGAAAAACACGAGGTGGAGGCGCCGCCATGTCGAAATGCCTTGCAGCGGCGGGAGGGGGGATCAAAGCAAGATGGCGGCACTACCTGGCAGCCACCTCGTACTTTGGCACACGTCTTAAAATTATTTATCCTTTCTAGATCAACTTCAAGTCATTTAGTCGAGTTTCTAGAAAAAGAACATTTTTTTAACAGTATTTTTTTACTCCCGAGGACGCTTAATTAGAAATTAAATAAATCGTTTACTTGGTTCTAATGGAGGATTCATTTGGAATCGATGAAAAATTTATTTTCCATAATAAATATATTTTTAAAAATTTGTTAATTTAATAAAAGTATGATAGAAATATTAATTAAATGAATATCCGATTTTTCTGCAATGAAAAAATGAAAAAATGGCAAACAAAGAGTTTTATTTTAATGTAAAATTCTTGAATCACGAGGAATTTTTCTAATTTAAGGCCAATTTTCCCGATATCAAAAATAAATGAGAGCAAATGAAGATGGAGCAAATTAAAAAATTGAATAAATCATTAATTTGATTTTAATAAACTATTCAGTTAGAAGAATAATTACATGAATAATTTATTTTCCATAATTAACACATTTTTGAAAACCTCTTAAGTGCATAAAAACACTGATAAAAATATTGATGAAATGAATAGACGAATTTTACACATAAAAAACTGTAAAAATTTCAAATAAAGAGTTAAATTTAAATCAAGAATTCTTAAATCACGACGATTTTTTCTAATTTAAGAACGATTTCCCCTCGCGATATCAAAAATAAAAAAGTACAAATGAAGATAGGCCGATGAACTCTCTCAAAGAGGAAATAGAGGCCATCGCGAATTGCTTGAGCTCCGGTTTATGGCAGTTTTACACGGCCACCACGTGTGCCGGACCCTATCATGTGATTAACTCGGCGAAAAAAATGCTTTTACGAGTCAGTACAAAGCCCCTCCATTATGCCCCATTAATAACCACCCACAATCGTGTGAATTAATCGCCGGCAGCGCCTACAATTCAATGATGAATAATAGTTGGATGAAAACATGAATGAAAAGCCGGATGAGACGAAATAGAAAAACGTATTCACGACCACGGGACCAATGATCGCGTGGCCGGAAAAACGCATAGCGAATATTCACGATTCGCTCACAGTCGCAAATAAGACAGAGCGAATGAACATCCGTGTGGATTTAATAATAGATTTCGGGCATTTTGCGTGGTTTACTCTTCACCCCTTCGTGTTGTTTCGTCCGCGGTCTTCCACGTAGCGTCAGTTTTCGTCTGGTTGTTGAGTTAATCGCAATTATAATCTCACGAGAGTGGTAGTTACCTCCAGGGAGTGATTGAGTGAATAAAAACTGATAAACTCCCTCGAAAAATCTAAAAATCCAACTAATTTATTGAAGTGAATATTAATTCCTCGTTTTTTTTTTCGATAGAATCATTCGTGGTGACAAGGAAGCTGGTGAGTATCTTTGATCATTAATTGTAGTCGGTAATTCATCGATTAATTAATATAATTAAATTATTCTGAGAGAGTAACAATTGATGGGAATAATTAATGAAAAAGGAATTATGGAATTTTTCTTTTGATAATGTGATGTCAATTTTCATTCAGCTGTTAAATGCAATTACAATTTTAATTAGTGAAGTCAATTAATGAAGGATAATATCTATAAGTTCAGGGGGTGACTAGAAAACTAGTCAATGAAAGTGAACATTAATTTCTCTTTTTTTCTTATTCGATAGAATCATTCGTGGATGCAAGAAATCTAGTGAGTTATCTTTAATCATTAATGATAGTTGGTAATTAATTAATTTTTTTTCATCGAGTTGTTGTCAATTAGTGAAGTTAATTAATTAATTATAATTTCTATAAGTTCATAGAGTGAATCAAAACTGCTAAACTCCCTCAAAAAATATAAAAATTAAACTAGTTCATTGAAGTGAACACTAATCCTAGTAATTAGTCAATTAATTGATGAATTAATGGAATTAAATTCTGGGAAAACGACACTTGACGAAAAAATACTGAAGAAATAAATTTTTTTCATCTCATGAAGTGATAAATTTTTCCATTCATCACTGAGTGAATTGTTTTGCCCGAAAATTCATGATATATTTCACCAAAATGTGTCACTGAATGACTCACATGTTATTACCGCTATCATTATTTCGAAGACAACATGTTTTCTTTGAAAAATTAATCAGAAACTCCCGAGAAATGGCGATTGCACGCAAATAAATAAAACTCTAAAAATAGAAATTAAAACTGTTGAAAACATGTGTAAAAGGCGAATTGCACTAGTGCAATTTCGAAAAATCATGTCAACAGTCGCTATTTACGATGCGAAAGCCAAGAGCTACAGTTCAACGCTTCTGTACTGGTGGATACACTATTAACAACGCGGCTACAATTTTGAAGATTAAAGCAACAATGTCAATGCCAGAAGAGAAAGGAAAGAGAAAAATTCAGAAATGCATGTGGGAAATTTAAAAAAAGGAGACAGATCAGTTTCTGGGCGGATGCACCGACCCCAAATGCCTCATTCATTCCACTGACGTTGTTTACCTATTCGTTGTGTGGGTAAATGCACGACTTAAGCCACGAGACGATAAAAATATCGCAGATACTGTGGATATAGAGAATTCGGAGACAAAATTAAAACGCGAAATGACTCGGAATTTTTTGAATTTCGGTTGAGAGAATTGGAAGAAGGGAATGAGTTGATTTTGTGTTGGGAGATTTCTGAGGAATTTTCGATCAATTTTTTTTGTAGAGAAAGTTAAAAGCTAGAAGAAGTTTTTTGGATTCAGAAATATTCACAAAAATAAGGATCGAATTTAGAACCTCATGAATAATTCACTTCAAAGGATATTTCGATGATATTTTGCGGAGAATTATTATTTCTTTAAACATTCCATTCTCAAAAATTAATAATTGTAATTGTTTGAGTTTTTAAAAGCTTCATACTTCGTTGGAATGCTATCAATGAAAAAAAATTTACGATTTCGGAAGAATAATTTTTAGGGTGAGAAATTGATTGTTGAATTTTTTTTCTTGAGAGTTTAAAATGAAGAATCACATTAAGATCTTTAAAGTATAAGTGATAAAATCAAAATCGCGAATGACTAAATTTTATAGAAAAACGTAACGAAGTCACTAGACAATTCTATTGGACTTATGTTGAATTTTATAATGGTTTTAGCCGATTTGATTGAATAGTTCTATAGAATTCTATAGAAAAAATCAATAGAATTGATTTTTTAAAATTCAATTCATTCTATTGCGATATTTTCTATAGAATTTTCTCATCAAGAAAAGCAAGCGATAAAACTTTAAAAAATCGAGTCGAGGAAATTCTATAAACAATATCTCAATAGAATAAGTTGAATAAAAAAATCTATTGACATTTTCTACAGAATTCTATAGAATATGTCAATAAAATTGGTCAAACACTAATAGAAAATTCAATAGAAATCCAATAGAATTGTCCAGCGAATTCGCTATGTTTTTCCATTAAATTTTTTCCTCCTCAAATTTTTATTGAGCCATTAATTAATTTCCAGACATAATGGGGATGATAACCCGAGTGCGAGGAAGAGTCCGAGCAAATTCGCTGACAGTTGACAAAGAGAAAACAGCGCAGAGTGTCTGTCTATTATCAGCAGTACTACTACTCCCCTACTGCCCACGAGGGCCACTCCCGCTTCTTCCGCCACCGGCTCCGGCTCTCTACTCGGTCCTAGTGCTACCGGTTGTCTTCAGTGCCAACTACAGATATCCCGTGTCGAGTTTGAAGACACTCGTGGGGACGTCCGGAGGTAATATCGAATTATTGGCGACGGAAAGTTCTCAATTAAGTGTCTAAACTCGTCTACACAACTCCATTTTTAGGGCGAGATTACTCGCATAACTAGTTATTCTAGGAGAAAACGGCAGAGGAACTTTTTGTAGGGAATTTCCTCAGCTACAAAAATGATTTATGACATTTTTTTCTATGATGAATAGTTATCAAGATAATTTAATAATCGCAAAAAAACATGAATTCCACTTTTTACCACGTCACTACAGAATCAATTCGACGATTTACGTTTCTATTTTGATTTTGATTTTTCTTCCCAGTTGATGAGACTTTTGAAAATCAATATGTGAATTAAATTCCATCAATTTATTAACCAACAATTAAAGAAAAATTTGGTCTCATCTGTTGAATTTTCACACTACAATAAATGATTTCCCCATGTTCTAATTCATATGCTCACTGAATAAGATTTTAATCATAATTACAATTTAATTCCTTCTAGAACACACTTTAGAGTGTGATTTTCTGGAATTCAATGTTTGTCGATAGTCTGGTAAAAGTCCGCGCCCACACTGTTATCAATTTTTAGTTAGTTTACACGGTAATTCAATTAGTCTGTTGTTTATCTCATCAATATAATTCCGCGCTTAGAATATTGTCATCTCGTGTTTTCAGCACCAAATTAAAAATTAAAACTTCATTTCAAATATTGAGTCACAGCTTCTTTTTATTCACCTCAGAAATTTTGTCTTTGGATATTAATACTATTTGTTCAAAGTGAAAAAATCGATCATCATTTTCACTATATTGCATTCAGATTCTCCTATCCTTAACGTCAAAAATGTGAGATAATCTCATAATTGTAGCTATTAATTCTAATCAACTTCTAAATTCACTAACGTTTTTATTCTAAAACATTAGTGAACGCAATATTAAGAAAGTAGAATTATTCTATTTTCCTCTGACTAAATGATTTGGACAATTATGATTCGTTTATTCATGTTTCATAGAATGGCATTCAAATTTGAACGATTACAAAGCTTCTGAACAAATTCATTCTGAATGAATTTAAGTCGTTTGAATAATTATAATAAACACAGAAAAATGAATGATTTACCTCGGTTGATCCTGAAGATTGAGCTTCAAGGATGGAGCCTGTTCACCAAGTGCTTTCGCTCCCCAACCATCCGCCTGTTTTATACTCCTGACTGGCCTCCTATCCTGCTAAAAAAAAATTTCTCCTTTCCACTCATTTGATCTGATCTGTCCTCTCGTCCATCTCCCATCGACGTCCATTAATATGCTAATGTTCTCCCCCAATCATCCCCGATATGTTCGGCATCAGGCGAAAATGATAGGCAATCCATCGCCGCATCTATATTATTCTAATTAACGTCTGTGATGTGAGGGGTAAAAAAATGAATAGGAGCAGAAGGTGAAATTCACCATTTTCAACGGTAATATCATTTGAAGCGTAAAAGCCCTCGGTTAAACGGTGGTTGAACGATCTCAAATTATCGCTTCGCGTTACATTGTGAGATGAAGTGGTGATTCTGGTGTTATTATACCGCCGACTTTCGATACTTGAGTCTGTAATTTTACCACTTCGTTCAATAGCTCAGGATAAAATCCATGAACATCACGCGCGGAGAAATTTTTTCATTTTTTTTCATTTGATTATTTTTCTATTTGTTTAAGACCGATTTTATTCAGGAATTCCGCAGTTTTTCGGCAAATTTTTTTAATAGATAATGTCCAATGAAAAGTATCCTGTATTGAAAAATATATATTATTTTAAATTATTTAAATAAATAATAATAGTCGTAGTAGTGAATGGTAATTAGCGATTTTCTTCATGAGTAGATAACTGAAGATAACTGCGAAATGCAATGGGTTTGTCTCTTGATTTTGACGATTAAGTCAATTTTTTGCGTCCGACTGTTTAAGTTTTGGATTTTTTGTGTTATATCGACCCAGTATCATCCACAAAGTTCAAAAATGCGATTTTTAGACTTCGTCCAAGATTTTTTTTCAACTGTTCACTATTGAATGAATGGAAGTAATTTTCATGGTCAAATGTAGGTATTGTTGAGCCCCATCAATCGCCATTAATTAAAATTTAATTCATCGATTAGTTTTTTCAATTTTCGAATTTTTTCGTAAATCGGTTGTCCCACGATAACAAAAAAAATGTTTTAGATTCATTGAATGATGGCTTAAAAAATTTATTTCGATGTACTTTTGACCGAGTTCGAAGATGAAGGCGATAGCAATAATCGTTATTTTGATTTATTTGAAAATTTGCAAAAATTTTGTATTTCCTGAAAATCAGAAGTCCGGGGATATCTTTGAATATCATGCTTCAAATGAATTCAATCATATCTTAGAATGTTTGTTTTAATGCCATTAAGTCGAAGTTGAAAGATGATTATGATAGCTACATTGTTTGATTTGATTTTTATGATGATTGTTGAAAATTTCGAAGTTTTGATGGATTTCCCTAAAAGTGAGCTTTCTGATATTTTCTTCAAATGTGATGTTTCAAATTCATTCAAGTATGTGTAAATAAAATTTTTCTATTAACATTTTATCGAAGCGCTGAGGGGAGAGATAGAGCCGTAAAAATGGCAATCGGTTGTATAGAAGAACGGGATAATAAAAATAATGATGATGATAACATTCGACTGAGTTGAAAATCTGACAAAATTAGTTGAAAAGAAATCTTATTCAATTTAATAAAATGAAATAAACAATGCACTATACACGATAGAAGAAAATTATGTGCAAAATAACCATTCGGAAGTACATTGCTAATTTATTAGCGAACATAACTATACTATACGCAACACAAGAGCAATTTCCCACTAGTTTAATTATCTCCAGCTGTTGCCAAGAGAGCATGGAGACCCCTGAGCACCTTCCTGAGACGCCTGTACGGACCGATCGACCGAGCTGAGAACCTCTTCTTGAAGATGAAGAATATTTCCCTGATGGTCAATCAGCTAGTGTTCCTGGTGCTCGCCGACAAAGTATTGGTGCCTCCCCAGCAGAGGATGACGTGTCTGTACAGTCTGATGTTTTATAATGTCATCGCTTACTGCGTGGGATACATAAAAGAGCTAGTAGAAAAGGAAGACTGGTCCCCTTATGTCACCCTCACCGAGAGATCGAGGATCAAACATTTAGCCATGTCTGCCACGAAGATTGTGCTTGAGTGGACCAAGGCTGTTACTTTCGCTGTTACTGTGACATTCATGCTATTGGTGTTTGGATTGGAACAGGGGTTGCAGAATTACAAGTAAATAAGACGATAGCAATATGAAATATTTGGCGAAATAACTACTTAGGACAATTCAGATTTTCTTCTTTCAATTGTGGGTCAAATGGTTTTGTGGGTCAAACGGGTCGTGAAGACGTGTTGGGTTGAGGGTCAACTGACTCGTTTTAACAATTTGACCCTTATATTTGATCCCCAAGGCCATTTGACCCTCAATTTCGAAGGTCCATAAAGGGTCGTTCGACCCTTACGACCGTTTAACAGTCCTCAACTCCACACGTCCTTGAGGGTCATTTGACCCTCAACTGCCAAGTTACTTAAAGATCATTTGATCCTCAACTTAAAAAACCCTCGAGGGTCGTTTGACCCTCAACACCATTTAACCTTCACTCCAAACATTCTAAAGGGTCGTTTGACCCCTAGACCATTCGGTCCTTAACTTCAAATGTTCGGAAGTTTCGTCTGACCCTCAACTTCAAGTGTCCTTAAGGGTCTTTTGACTCTTACGACTGTTTGACCTTCCCTTCCGAATGTCTTAAAAGGGTCACTTGACCCTTACGACCATTTGGCCCTCAATTCCACACGTCCTTAAAGGTCGCTTGACCTTCAAAATCATTTTACCTTCAACCCCAAAACTTCCTAAGGGTCGTTTGACCCCCCAGACCATGTGACCCTCCTCTCCAAGTGTCCTTAAAGGTCGTTTGAGGGTCCTTCAAACGGTCTTAAGGGTGGTTTGACCCTCAACTCCAAGTGCCTTTAAGGGTCGTTTGACCCTTACGACCGTTTGACCCTTCTAAACGTTCTTAAAGATCGTTTGATCCTCAAAACCATTTTACTCTTCAACTTCAAGTCTTCTTACGGGTCGTTTGACCCTCCAGATGCTGAATTCCAAATGTCAAGAAGGTTCATTTGACCCCCAAAACCATTTGACCCGCATCATCAAGTATTTTTAAGGGTCATTTGAGGGTCCTTCAAACTCTCTTGAGGGTGGTTTGACCCTTAATTTCGAATGCCCTTAAAGGCCGTTTGACACTTACAACTATTTGACCCTTAATTCCAAATGTCCTAACGATTCATTTGACCCTCTTCAAGTGTTCTGAAGGGTCGTTTGACCGTCCCAAACATTTGATCCGTAATTTCCAACATTTTTAAGGGTCCTCTGACCCTCAAAACCATTTTACCTTCAACTCCAAGCCTTCCAAAGAGTCATTTGACCCTAAAAAATATTCAACCCTCAACTTCGAAGGTCTTCAAGGGGTTTTTTGACCCTTAAGGGCTGTTTGACCTTTAAACCCTTCCAAAGACATTAACCAAATTATCCTAATCGGCTCCTTCAATAATCCTAATCGCTTTTTCGTTGCAGACCATCGACGTCGTACACCATCATCACCTGGGCCTACTACTCAGCAACCGAGAAAGTCTTCGTCGACATGTTCCCAGCAATCCTCAATTTCCTCCAACTGGAGGCCCTCGAGAACCTCGAAGCCCTCTACGCCCCGGTCATCCTCCGATCCTTCACCATCTCCATGTCCTCTCTATTCACCCTGATCCTCCTGCCGACGGCCACCTGGAGATTTCTCCTCGTCGCCACCTACCTGAACGTCTTCCTCAGGACGAAGGAGCTAGTGAAAAATTCGGGAGCTGCCCTCTGGGCCGAGAGACAGATCCTCAATAAGTATCGAAAGGCAACACTCGAGGAGATCGAAAAATTCGACGACGTGTGCGCTGTCTGCCTCTTCACCATGGTCAAGGCACGAGTCACCCCCTGCCATCATCTATTCCACGCCGATTGCTTGAGACAGTGCCTCAAGACCAGCGACAAATGCCCCATGTGCAAGAGGGAGTTGAAATTCGATTGATTAATTATTTGGGGTTTATTCTCTTCATTGTTACGCTTTTGGAGGGGCGAGGGGCTTTCGACGACAGCGAGGGAGATTTTTGTACTTTGATACTGACACAAGGGATATTTTTGTTAGATCATTTTTCTTGTAGATTTTTCATCAAGGTATTTCGTTCGAAAAAGAATGACACACACAAACAAATTTTATGGAATAACAGCGAATTCGAGGGAATTTCTACGGGACTTCTAGTGGAAATTCTGTTAGTTTGTGGTTAATTGTATTGAAGAATTCCCCGGTTTCACTTTGCGTTATTTTATAGAAAATTTCTAGTTGAAAATATCAGTGGAATTTCAGGTTCTACACAAATTTTTCTAATAAAACATTTTCCATAGGAATTCGTCGACATGAATTCTCCACGATTTTTGCAGTTTATTTTTCTTCTTTCATTAATAAAATAAAATGAAAAAAAATGGAAATTTAGAGACGAGGAATTCCTATAGAAAATAATTTATTATCTGTATAGAATAACTATTATATTATTATACTGACTTATTTTATTGTTTTCTTTCCAATTTTTCTTTGCGGTTAGATTAAATTAAATTTATTGGATTCTATTCCCATTGTAGTATACAAATTGTGGGAATAGTTTTTCTCATTTTCAAATGAAGATATTTATGATAAATAATAAAGAGGGTATTGATACTTTTTGTTAGGATGATGATCGATTCGCAAGAAAATAAAAATTTCGATTTTTCAATGTCTCTGGAAAGTTTTAAAATTGATATACTTTTTCAATTAATGGAAGAATACCCATCAATTCAAGTTCTATCCGCACATTTTGATAGAATACATAAAAAAAATAGCAAAGAATAAAAATCGGAGATGAAAAATTTGATCGGATTACTATAATGTAATAATTTGTGTGGAAAAATAGAATTTCATTGATTTTTTTCTATAAAATATTTTCAACTAAACATTGATATCGAGAAAAACGCGAGATTGAGCTGCGGAATTTTTCAATAGAATCAGCAAAAAATGAATAGTATTCATTGTCATGTCATTATTTTTTCATAGATGGAACTCCTTGAGGTATTCCGAAGGTGAAGTGGTGAAACCGAACATTTTATTTTGGGTCGAGTTTATCTCGTCTGGAGAAACACTGGATCTGCAAAATCTAGCTCTTCAAAATTTCGTAATCATTTCGTCAAGAAAAATTTTAAAATTCTGGAAAAATTGTATTTTCTCCATTGCAACTGTTTTTCAGCACCTTTGAAATCATTTTCTTGAGATTGTAATAAAAATTCTTGAAGTCCACATTGAGAATTCACAAAAACAAAAAATCAGAATGAATCAATAAAAAAATTGATTTTACACCAAAAGGGCAAATTTCCAAAGTCTTGAAAAATTTTCATTATTTATTCATAAACATAAACATGAGGCTTCAGAGACAATTCAATTAATTTCGTTTCATCCCTTCACTAACGAATTACACGTAGAAAACCTCAAACCGAGTCAACTTCATGTAAATAATATTATAAATACCTAATTCCTTTTTTTCTACCCGAGACAAATGTTGAATAAATAAGAATTGACAAAAACGAAGGAGTGGTTCAATCAAATCCTTTAATATTTTTAATTCGTATCAATAATGGCGTTAATTTACAGAAATCTAAGACTTCTCTTGTTTGACGAGACTCTCGTCCTCCCCCTCGTACTTCTTCGTGATGTCGATGTACTCTCCGTCAGGGGAGTCGAACTCCTTGATGGGAGGAGTGGAGACAGGTCCCTGGACGTCGTGGGGGAGGAACGAGAGGTCAACTTCGATCGCCGCCTGGTAGAGCTCCTCAGACTCAGCCCTGAGCTCGTCCAGGGCTTTTTGTTGGGACAGAACAACTGTGTCGATCATCTGGATGTCCGAGAGGTGCTCGCGTTGCTTGTACCTCGCCCATTCCTTCATCAGGAGCATTCTCTCCTCGATTACCTCCTCTGATAGTTTTGGTTTAGGCCGAGTCCTCCGCCTGAATAGAAGACGAGTCCATGGATTAACGATGTTTATCCATTTTTGGATAGAGAGTTTTTCATGTTCAATGATTGGTAATTATTGCCGAGTATTTTGATAGAATGAGAGATATATTCGTTGTTAAGGGGTTTCATCTGCAGATAAAATTGACGAAATGGTTTAAGAGGAGAGTTATTACAGAGAGATGTTCAGGAGTAAATTAAATTATGTGAAGGAAGTTTTCAATTAAAAGTATTGAGTTTTGTTCTTCATCGATGGGGGATTATTCGAGAGGTGGACTCGTTGGTGATAAGTAATTATTCCTTCTTTCATTTTCGTGATGATCAGACTGATGATCAGATTTTCGATGGGAGATACGTCCCATTTTACCACTTCACTACTGAATTGACTATGTGTTTCAACAATTTGTGAAGTAAAAATGTTGTAGTGAGCAACTGAAAATGTTTAAATGGTCTTAATAAAATTATAAGTTTTTTAAAATCTAATTGACTCATTGATTCATTCATAATTTATTTCACAAATAATATGGGGTCATTCAACATCCGGGAAACCTTTATTTAAACAATTAATCGAGGTTCATGTCGACATTGCTGCTGTGCACAAACTCTATCTCTATGTTTTGAATAAAGTTATGTGACATTTTCACTTACTTCATTTCATCCAGCAATTTGAACGCAGGTTCGACTTCACTAATGGGTTTTAATTGTCTAGCATGTTTCTCAAGCCTTCTAATCGCTTTTTCTAATTTTCTCTGCCTACGCAGCTCTCTTTGTCGTATCACAGCTGGGTCGATCCTCCTTTTCTTCTTCAGAGGTTCTCCACTGGAATAAAAATGTTGATAATTCAATAGTATTCTCATTCTTTTCACCTGGTCATTTAATTATTGACTCCTGACAGTTAATTCCTCATATTTTTTCGAACAACCAGACAAATCGAGAAATTTAATTTCCATTATTTCGCAAATATCTCCAAAACTACTCGGTTTTGATGAAAACATCAGAGAACCTTTCTTGTAGCTGAGTAAATTCTCCACAAAAAAGTTCTTCTGACAAATTTCCCTACACCCCTTCGCTCTCTCAGTAAATCACCACGAGTGTCTCAAACATTTTTATCGAATATTACAAATAAAATCTGTGACTTACTAAAGAATTTCAGTTGCTCTGAAGCACAATGGGTTGATGTTCGTGGATATACTCCTCGTATTCGGTCTCACTCCATGGACTGATAACCTAAATGAACAGAAAAACATTTCTTCCACTGATTAAAGAATTTATCAACAATCAAATAATTGAAAAATATTTTCCAATTAAAAGTCAACATGAGAGATTGCTCTTTAAAAAATCATAAAACTTCCACTCGAATCCCTAATAATCTATCACGATTATCCCTATTATTGTTATACATTATTATTATTATTACAATTATTATTACATATTATTATTTTTTAATTTGACGAATGGAATTTCCATTCAATTTTGTTAGAATATTCAAATCGACATGAAATCGTCACTATCTCCTGACCTAATGATGGAATTAGGATAAATCAGGTCTCATTTTGAAGCCTGAAGAAATATCTTTAGAATGAAAACAAGTTTTTTGAATTTCACTCTGCCGATCTTGAGTTATTGAATATCAAAAACGGTTCATTTGAGCTTTCTCTCCCCAATTGTTTGTATTCTTAGTTTTTCGTGGCTCCGGAGGGATTTTATTTGGAAGTTTTTTCAGTGAATACAGATTGATAAATGAAAAACCCTCGAACATACCTTGAGAATGCACTGAGAATCCCGGAAAAGCTCATAATATTAGTTGAATGAAGTGTTCCTTTAAAAAACGTCCGAAAAACTCCAAAAAAATTAGTTAAAAATTTTTTCGGAGCGCAACATAACCTCAGAGGTGTGCCCAGTAGTGCCAGCAAGTGCCAGAGACATGATCCAGCTGAAAAAGTGGCAACACTGGGTAAAAGTCACACTTGACGCCCCCCAAATCTCCTCTAAACAATAAACAATTTTCCAGTTTCCGAAAAATTGTCGATGTGTCCAGAAGTTGCCTCGTCTTCTCCTTGATTGTAAAATTCCCATAAGTTCAGAAACACAGTTCGAAATAGTTGGGATTGTTCGGAATATGAGGAAAGAGTGCATCACAGGTGTTGTTCATTGAAATGTGTGAATAACCTCCTCGATAGGAACATTATTCAATCGTTTATCGAGACAATCTGGTGAAGTTATGCTTGAAAAATGGAGAGTATGGAGGCAAAGATCAATGGGATTTACTCAACCAGTGGAGTGAAAGTCATCCCTCCACATTCAGGTATTCATGATTATTTTTGTTTTTTGAGGATTCTCTGGAGATTTCCACAGGTTTTTTCAATATTTTTCTATGAATTTTCTCGGTTCTGAATGATGTGAGAACGATGAGAAAGTCCATAAATAAAAAAATTCGTTAATTGTATCTTTGGAGAAGGAGGAGATTCAAAATTTGTCTGAGTATTTTTTGGATATATTAGAGATTTAGAAGTTTTTCCTGTGGGGTAAAAAGTAATTTTAATTGTTTTTCTGTTGTTTTTGGTGGATTCTCTGGAGAATTCTACACGTTTTTTGATAAATTTTTATGAATTTAGATAATGAAATGTTCATCAATTTGATGTGACCTTATGACATTTCTCGATATTCGGGTTAATATTGATTTTTTGTGAATGTCATCCCTTCAGATTCTGGTGGCATTTATGATTATTTGAATTGTTTTTTAAAATTGATTCTCTGGAAATTTCTACAGGTTTTTTGACAATTTTTTAATGAATTTAAAATTCATTTAAGTTAATAAAAGTCGATTTAAACCGTTCGACCACTTCACTACTGAATTTACATATATTTTACCTTGAGAACTTGAAAAGTGGTGAAACGATTAACACGATATCAAATTCATCAACTTCATAAACCTCTTGGGATTCCCTGATAACAAAATGATCCAAAGGAACCTTGTTCGGTCCCAGGGAATTCATGATTTTGCCTGATTCCAGAGGCTCCAAATGCCTTCCCCGACATTCCAGAAGCAGCTCAGTGGTGGAGAGACACTAGTGACCTCGAGGTTCATCAGTCGCTGGAGGATCCCATGAATTCTGGGAAAGGGGAGGGTTCCTGCGAGGCCGAGGACAGCTCAGACTTGCAGCAGAATGTGGAGGAGTCCGAGAAGATTGCTGCAAGGAAGAGGAGGCCTGGATCCTCTGGCAGCGCCGAGCTCACTGATAACCGAGGGAGGGTGAAAAATCCAGAAAATTGGAAGGTGAATCTCAAGAAAAATGCCAGACTGAGGGGCGAGGAGTACGTTGGAGGAGGAGGTAAATACGAGGAAATTTAATACCTTTATGGAAATTCAATGTTCAACCAATTCATTCAGAAAAAAATGTCAACAAAGATTTGTTGGATGAATTGAAAAAATTTCCCATGAATTTTCTTGACTGACAAAAATGTCTTGACAATTTTATTTAAAAAATGTACTAGTCTATTAGAAAATAATAATTGATAAGCTTATTGTGATCCAGAGAAGACATTAAAAAATTTCGTACAAATAATTTCTCTAATATTTTTTAAATGAAGACGTTAAAAAATGTTGAGTAATTTTTTTATAGATAAATTTCGTTAAATTTTCTAGATCTTGAGATAATTCACTTCTAAAATAATCAAGACATTCGTTTCGAACGAAAGGACAAGTCTGAATATTTTTTACTGATGATTCCAAGAATATTTTCGAACCTTCTAAAAAAACCTTGAGAAACATTTCGAAGTCGACTCATTTCAGCACTTCACAACTAAATTCTATGAATAATCCAAACAAAATGTAAACAAAGTACAAATAATTTCTCCAATTTTTTCGCTAAGAAACCACAAAAAAAAACATCGAAGAGTTGTATTCATAAATAAACTTTGTTAAATCTTCTAGATTCTGAGATAATTCACACGTCCAAAATAATCAAACATTCGTTTGAAACAAAAGGACAAGTTTGAAGATTTTGTACTGAGGATTCCAAGAATATCTTCGAATGTTCTGGATGAAAAAAAATATCAGTCAATCTTTTTCTAATGGACCCTCAAGATATTCTACAAAAACTTCCAGAAACATTTCGAAGTCAACTCACTGTCCCCCTTCCCTTCACCGAAATTCAATGAATAATTCACTTGATGCTGAATTTCTGCAGGTAAAATAGTTCCAGCAAAGGTGATGGGGCCGCCCTGCGACTGTCGGTCGCGTTGTGGTGACAAAGTTGACGAGGAAAGTCGTGCAAAGCTCCACGAGGTCTTCTGGAAGACCTGCAACTGGGACCAGAGGAAGCAGTACGTGGCCCTCTCAGTGAAGGAGTCGCCGAAGCATCGAACCCGAGCCCGAGGCAAGGATCGAACAGAGACGAGAAGACACGTCACCTTCACGTACTCCCTCCTGGTGAACGGCGAGTGCATCACAGTCTGCAAGCCAATGTTCCTGTCCACCTTCTCAGTCTCCGAGAAATTCGTTCGTCACGCCATGGAGAAGAAGAGGATCTCCCCCGGGGGAATAATCGGTCCTGATCAGAGGGGCAGGCACACCCCCAAGACGAAGAAGAGTGAGGACGTGAGGAATCGAGTGAGGGAGCACATCCAGTCATTCCCGACGTTCAAGAGTGAAAACCCCAGGGAGAGGAAGAGATACCTGGAGGCTCATCTCAATATTGCTGCTATGCACAAACTCTATGTGCAAAAGTGCGAGGCTGAGGGCGTACCTCAGAGTGATATCGTGAAGGAGAGTTATTACAGAGAGATGTTCAGGAGTGAATTCAATTATGGGTTCAAGGCACCTCCTGTTTGTGGGGAGAAAAAGTGAAGGGAATATTCAGTGAAAAGTATTGAGTTTTGTTCTTCATCGATGGGGGATTATTCGAGAGGTGGACTCGTTGGTGATAAGTAATTATTCCTTCTTTCATTTTCGTGATGATCATTGAGGAGTAATACGGTTGATTAAGGAGGATTCAGTGGTGGAGTGGTGGGACAGGATTGATTGATTTCACTTGATGTTTAGATTGTGGGAGTTATTTCACAATTTTATATCAAATTGTTTTTTATTTGTACAGAAAAATTAGAGATGCAGAGAAAGTCCTTACGAAAATCTTGCTTCCAAATTCGTTACTCATGTCAAATTTAATTTGATGATGAAGTTCGATGGAAGCTACGTCCCATTTTACCACTTCACTACTGAATTGACTATGTGTTTCAACAATTTGTGAAGTAAAAATGTTGTAGTGAGCAACTGAAAATGTTTAAATGGTCTTAATAAAATTATAAGTTTTTTAAAATCTAATTGACTCATTGATTCATTCATAATTTGTTTCACAAAAATATGGGGTCATTGCTCTGAATAACAGATCTCTAAACGTCCATTAAGTGATTCAATTAATGAAGCGTCAATTACTCTTGGAGCTGAACTCTCTACATCTCAGAGTTGCAGCCTCCACAGCGTCAATAACAGCAGATCTCATGCCTTTCCTCTCAAGTTCGTGGATAGCAGTTATGGTCGAGCCAGCAGGTGAGGCCACATCGTCTTTCAATTGCCCAGGATGGACACCTGTCTCTCTGACCATCATTCCAGCCCCCAGAACAGTTTGAGATGCCAATTTATAAGCTAGAGGCCTTGGCATCCCCATCTTCACTGCTCCATCTGCCATCGCCTCTATGAACATGTAGACGTAAGCCGGCCCAGAGCCAGCTAGAGCTGTCACTGGGTCGATCAGGTGCTCGTCAACTTCCTCGCAAATTCCAATCGCTGAGAACAGCTTCTCCGTTACGTCAGCGTCTTCGTCTGTGGCGTGAGTACCACGCGCAAATACTGTTGCACCACAGCCCACTAGGGCTGGGGTATTTGGCATCACTCGGATTACTGGAGTTCCCTCTGGTAATCCCTGGAGGTAATGAGGGGATTATTATGTGTTTAATTTTTTGGCGAAACTGTGAAAATACTCCATAATTTTCTATTCTATTTTTTTTGTTTTTCAATAAAATAATGAAAGAAATGACATATTTTTGTTCATTTTTTGTTTAAATATTTTATATGAGTATTACGTAATTACATTTGACCCTATAATTGATCTTAGGGTCTTGAATAAATAAATTACAAGTAGAAAATAATGAAAAAAAAGAATTCTCCCGTTTTTATTTAAAAATTAAAACAAATAAAACTATAAAAACCTGAAAAATATAAAAATCTGAGGGAGAAACATCATTTTTGCATTTTTTTTAATAATAAGAAATTTAAGAAATTAAAAAATAGATAAAAATTGAGAAAGAATCATGTTTCAAATAAAAAAAAATATTTTGCAAAAAAAGGTGAAGTTGATAAATAAATAAATTCCCCAAGGCTTCAGTTTAATGTCAAGTAATTGATTACTTCTCAAATTACCTTTTCGAGTGCCTCAATGGAGATTCCCATAGCTATCGATAAGACAAGTTTCTCAGGATCTTTGAGTTCGGGAAGTACTTTGGACACGATCTGTGGCTTCACTGATAGAATCAGCACATCTCCATGAGCAGCCACAACGTCGTTTGTGTGTACAGTCTTTGATCCAATGTCCTATAAATTGATTACATATTTCAATAGATTACAATTGATAACAATAATCAATAAACATGCATAAGGAATTCAGTACAAAAATTTTATTCATTTTTTCCGCCAATTATATTGAAAATTATCATTTCCCCGTGCATTTTTCAAAATTAAAAAATTTACGCCCAGAAATTCTAATCGCGAAATCAAAATCTATCAATTTTTTTCTGTCGAATATTCAATTTAAAATTTGCAACAAGAGATCTAATTGATCTACTGATTTTAATTAATATGAAAACAATTATAATCATTAATCGATTAATAATTGTAATTAATTAAATAGATCAATTTTTTTTTAATGAAAAAAATTAATGATAACTATTATTAATAGTTAATAATTATTATTAATTTGTTTCATTTAAAGAAATTGATCTATTTAATGAAATGTCAATAGAACTGATAAAACATCAATATTTCCTACTAAATTCTCCTATCCGTTACTGTTTACTAGTTGCGAAAGAATTATCGCGCGATAACATCGAAAGCAGTGGAACACCAGTTGTTGTTCATAATCAAAGATCATTGGCATGATATCGATTAATCCCTCCATCTGTCTTCTCAAGCTGTTTCAATGTATCATTGTGTTTGTTATTTAGTCCGGTGGAGGACTGATTGAGATCTCCACGGCATTATGGAAAATTTTTTATCTCCCCACAATTGTCAATGGGTTTGATAGTGGAATTATGACACAGAAAAATCCAAACAGTTTCGAAATTCCTAGATAAAAGACACAACTGTAAATCTGCCGGAATTTTCATCAGCTTTTTTAACTTCCGGATGCAGGGAAGTTATTCTCAAAATTTATTTGAACAATTCGAAATTGAGGAAGTGAGATAATCATTAAATTTGTGGAAATTTAAATGAGAAAATGAAATAAAAAGTTGATTAAATTAAATTAAATAAATTCAATTCATTTTTTTAATTAAAATTGCAATAAAAAATTTAATTGAATTGAATAATTAATCGATTTATCGATCAAATATTTCCTATTGAACATTTCTATTTAAAAAACGTACATAAAGTTGCGGAATTTCTCAATAGAATTGAAAAACTGATGGACTTTTCAATAGAAATTCAACAGAATTCTCTAACAAATTCGCTAGATTTTTCTCAAAAAAATTATTCGCGAATTTTATATTATATATTATATATTATATATTATATATTCAGTGATATTATGGCCCACGTCGATTTTAATTCCCCGATTCACCTGCCTATTTCACAATTTCCCAAATCAATCTCGTGCCTAGATCCCTATCAGGCGCCAGATTCACGAGCTCACAATCTCCAATCTGTTTCCCTCATTTTTCATCGCAATAACAACAAGCTGAAGTCAAAGTTCTTCCACACAACAAGATCTTATCACGCAAAAAGCCGTTTGGCAGTTCTTCCGCGAGTGATACCAAGTGCTGAGACCTTATTACACGTGACAAAACATGTGGTACTCACTCTAAACGTCTCGATACTGCCCTTGTCACTGGGAAGACAACTGGCGAGGATCATCTCCCCCTTGCTGAGTCCTAGGAAATTACAAAAAATTCCAATCACAAATTTCGAATCGAATTCACGACTAGAATTGAAATTGTCTAGTGTCAATTTTGTTTTTCGTTTTTTTTTCTTGCAAGTTTTGGGGGTAATTACCGGCACTGATGAACCCTTTGGCAAGGGCCTGGGCCATTTTGCCCCCTCCCAGGAAACCGATCTTTAGCATATTTGTATCAATATGCGTCGGAATCCTTTTCGCTTTCTCCTCAATGTCGGCGAGCAGGTCGTCACTAACTGCATGCAAATGAGAGGGAAAAAATTAATAACAGTGTACGAGGTTTTCTAGATGGCTTATCGGGGGGAGAACCAGTGGGGAGTGATCTGTACCATTCCTCTCGTTGAGTCTCCTCCGCAGACTCCGGGTTATCTTCATTAACCCCATTGCACGTAGCCCAACCGTCATCTTCGGGGTTTTTATTAAATTACGATGGTGATAGGGGAATCAGTCGCTCTCAGTCTGAGGACGATTATTCACCTGACTGGTAATTTCTGGAAGACAAACATTTTTTTTCGTTGCAATTCGCTCACCGATTACGGAATCGACTCGGAAAATTTAATTGACGGTATCGTAATTTTTCACAGGAGATTCAGATAAAAATTATGGAACGCTCTGGAAAAATTCCGTGACAGTTCTGTAAAATTTCCTACGACCACATTTCGCTCCGGAATTACGGAAAAGATATGTAATTTTTATTGAATATTTCTCTCCGTGTTGAAATTTCCAGTGAAAAAGATTCAGATTTTTAACGACGGCAAAGTTACATGAATTTTCTGGATATTTCTTCATTGACGAATCAGTTAATTTCTTGAGTACACGCACGAAAAAATTTAGTAGAAAAACCTATCGAATTTGTTAGGAAATTCTATTGAATTTCTATTAAGCTTTCTATTATTTTTTGGCTGATTCTATTGACAATAGAAAACATTCAATAGATAAAGTCAACAGAATTCGATTTTTCTATATAACTTATTCTTTTCATATATTTTCTATAGAATTTGCTCTACTCAAATTTTCTAAGTTTTTTAAATTCTATTTTTCTTGTCTTCTCATCAAGAAAATCAAACGAAAAAGCTTGGAAAAGTTGAGCCGAGGAAATTCTGTAGAATTTTACCAAGAATTGTAGAATTTTACCATTTTACCAAATCGCTACTGAAATATACTTGAATTGAGTATATTTCATACTAGAATGAAGTATATCCGTAAACTTGATTCAATACTGTTAGAAATTTTTTGAAATTTCACAGAAGATATTATAGTGAATCTTATGAGAGTGATATTGAATCGAATTTAGGGAAAAAATGATTATGAAATTCAAAATTTCAAGTAGAATTCACGGAAATTCATGAGTTTTCAGTGGGAGTGAGATCGAAATTTCATAACTTAATGGAATTTCCAGTGGAACATAAATATTCGGAAATAAAATGACATGAATTTTCAATTTTTCCCTGTATTTTCCGAATTTTTCGGAATTTTCACAGAATGTTTGAACTGAAAAATCTGGTATTTTTCGGCCGGCATTATAAAAAAGTTCAACATGAAAACCCAGAAATTCTCTTGAAAGATTTTTCCATCAATTATTTATACATATTATCTAATTATATTTCGCTTGAATTTTATATTCAGAATAATTAATCGCGATGAATTTAAAATCTAGTACCATCAGTAATTTTTTCAATTAAACCTTTCTGATGAACAAAATGTGTCATCATTAACGAGATAATGGATGACTAATGAATGCTAAAACCAAATTAACAAGTATTTAATTAATAAAAACTAGTCTACGAACCTCAATGAATCTTTCCGAATTTTCCCTAGCTGTTTGTTTTTTCAGTGCTGAGTAATAGTGAAACTGATGTGCATCACCCATAAGACCGAAGAGAGTTCCTCTTGCTGGTCAGTATTACTCGCCAAGCGACTCAGTACTGAAGTGACTGTCGCGTCCACCACCTATATAGGTGCCTCCAGGTAAGCCCATCTACCTCCAGGTAAACCCCCTCTGAAACTCCTTATCTCGGAGATCTGATTAGTGGAATCTTCCCAGAATGATTCAATTCCCATTGTTGTGGCTGGTCATGTGCAATCGCTCGCTCGATCTCGATATCGATACAATTGACATTCACGTGAGGCGAGGATTTCTCATTGAGGGACAGTGCAAGAGGAACCCCTTGTATTAATGCTTATAATTTAATCACGTATGAAGAAATTCAATAGAGAAACTTAGCGAATTCGATAGAAAATTCTATTGGAATTCTCTAGAAATTCTATTGGGATTCTATGAAAATTCTAAGGAATTCTCGTTAAAATTCTATTCGTTTTTTGCATTGATTCTGAGATATTTGATAGGAAAAAGTCAATAGATTTTTATTTTTCTATATGAATATTCTCTTGGAATGTTTTCTATAAAAATGCTTGACAATGAATTTTCTAAGGTTTTTTCACTCGGATCCTGCAATGCAAATCGAAACAAATTATAGCGAGAAAAACTTGGAAAATCCGTGCCCAATAGTTTTAATAGAAAAAAACTCAGCAGAAAAGTTCGAACAGAAAAATTTAAATCTATGCCTAAATCTAAATCTATAACTTGACTTTTTCCTATCAAATATCTAATCGAATCTGCGCAAAAACAAATAGGAATTTACCGAGAATTCTCCGGAATTTTAATAGAATCCCCATAGAATTTCTAGAGAATTTCAATAGAATTTTCGAGCGAATTCGGTAAGGTGTTTTTTATTTTTTATTTCAATTCACCTTTTCTAATGTTGTTAATGTCTACGGGAAGAATAATATTTTTTTCTTACTTTCGTTTACAGTTTTACGTCAGGAGACGTTTAGCGCTTTTCAAAAATAACATCACGGATAAAAAAATTTAATAGAAAAAGCTAGCGAATTCACTAGACTTTTTCGACATTATTTTTCGAATAATGAAAGACTACACATCAATTCGATTTCTATCCTTGTCTTTCGATAGAATAAATAGAATAAACTCCAAAAATTAAGAATTGGAATCTAAAAATTTTATGCGATAATTATTCTGTAATAATAATTTTGCCCATTCAAAATTTGAATTTTTCCGGCACCATGACGTCACAAATCTAGGGACAACCGTAGTGACTACGTGATCAGCTGAGTTTTAGGGACCCTAGACAGCCATTCGTAAAGTCATGAATGTCCCGTTCCCAGAATCGTATAGTAATTCGATCCATTGACTAAATTTGGGAGTGAACTATTTTTTTCCCTTCGCTCCAGATTTTTTTTTTACCATCGTAAGAGGGAAAAGGGAATATCAGGGATTTTTGTGGCACACGTGTTATCATTTTGAGGAGTGATAATGGTAAAATCGAAGCGGCGATGTGATTGTCATTATCAAAATGTTTATCTCGCGGTCTAATTTTTTTTGTTGAATTTTTTGAATTCGGTAGCAAAATCCGAACGAAGATACCGAGTGGAATGACATCCTCAGGTCGAAGGGAATCATCCCGGAGAAGCCGAAGGAGAAGGAAATTACGGAGGATCAGATTGTTGATCTCCTGGAGAGCACGATAGACAAAAAAACTGGGAAAGGTAATGAGTAACTTGATGAATTTTACACATTTGTTGCAACTATGGAATTATTTCGATAGTGAGTGGTTTTGAGAGAAAAACTTAGAATACACTTTTTGTGGAGAATTTCATGAGCTACGAAAAAGGTCTTTTGACTTTTTTTCGTAAAATCACGGGTTTTCGAAATGAAGTCGTAATTAGACAACAGATGAAATCATCGTAGATTTCAGAATAGGTTTCTACATGTAAGATATCCTTTTTTGATATTATAATTAACGAATATTGCTATTGGGTATCTTCTAACTCGGGCAATGTCCTTAACACAATTTTTTTAGGTCATCATTAAAGTAGTATAAACATAACTTAAATTTTGAAGATTAGAATCTGAATTAAATTCTAAACGGAAGACGATATGAATGAAAATATTCTATTTGTGTTCCTGATCAATTGGCTGTCTAGTGTTATTAATAATAATTAATTCAGGGAGACATTTTTTATAGAGAATTTTTTCAGCTACAAAAAAGGTGTTTTGACTTTTTTTTGTAAAATCACTGGTTTTTTAAATAAATTCGTAATTAGACAACAGATGAAATCATCGTAGATTTCAGAATAGGTTTCTATATGTAAGATATCCGTTTTTGATATTATAATCAACGAATATTGCTATTGGGTATCTTCTAACTCGGGCAGTGTCCTTGACACAATTTTTTTAGGTCATAATTAAAGTAGTATAAACATAACTTAAATTTTGAAGATTAGAATCTGAATTAAATTCTAAACGGAAGACGATATGAATGAAAATATTCTATTGGTGTTCGTGATCAATTGGCTGCCTAGTGTTATTGATAATAATTAATTTAGAAATGGCAAAATAACACAGAATTTATGAGAAAATTATTTTTTTGAGATTAAAGAACGGATTAAAATACAAAAAAATTCTAGTAAAATAAGAAAAAATTGATAAAAATTTTATGCCTAATACGAAAATTATCGTCAGTGTCAAACTTTTGTGATAAATAATTTATCCTTCTGGGAACCTCGAATGGAGAGGATGCTCTAGTCAAACAAGCACGATTCAATAAAATAATTCTTGAGAGAATTTGATGGATTATTTTTTTACTCTCGTCAAAAGTTCAGAATCGATGTAAGATATCATCAATAATGAATAATTTTTTTTCGGGCATTTGCAATTTATTTTTTGAGCTATCACTTTGTGGAAAATAAAAACGCGGAACTAAACAATTAACATCTGAATTGAATTTCGATTGCTGTTAATGCAAATAAATAAAAATAACTTGCATTTTCGGACCTTTTGGATAATAATGGATTGATATAGGGAAGGGTGGGGTAAAATGGACACTTTTCCCTTTTTTTTAAATATTCATAAGAGAATGGCCCTTTTTATTAAAAAAAAATGATACAATTTCATTAACAATTCAATAAGCCATTAGCATTTGAAAAAAAGTAAAAAGTGTTCATTTTACCTCATCGTCCCCTAACGCAAAAAATCCAAAACTTAAATTTGAATGATTACAAAAACATAAAAATGAGAAAATTATCTTTGCGACAATTAAAACGGAATTGATAATTTCATGAATTTTAGGAGGCAATAATTTAGAAGACAAAGACCTTGACGAACTAGATGAACTAGAGGACGAGGAGGACGAGCGAGTCCTCGTGGAGTACCGAAAGAAGAGGATAGCGGAGATGCAGGCACTGGCCGATAAATCAAAATACGGAGACGTGAGGGAAATATCGGCCTCTGATTACGTCCAAGAAGTCAACAATGCGGGTGAAGATATATGGGTGATTCTGCATCTTTACAAGCCTGGGTAAATAATGAAGAATCGGTGGAGTTGAGGGTCATCTATCAAGAATGAATGATGGCATCGAGGGTTTCTACAGGGCTTTCTTACGCGATGCTATATGAAAAATGACAGCATAACAGAATTATTCAACAATAATTGAAGCGAAAAATACGTGTCTAACATATTTTAATAAAAGTTCAAGCTGAACAATTGACATAACGTCCTATGTAAAATCCAGATTAATGCCATATACATTCTCAAAACTTAATACCTCAAGACATTGAATGATTAACATTTTTAAAAATTATGGATTGCTTCCAGTATTCCTCTCTGCACGTTAATCAATCAGTATTTATCGAACCTCGCGAGGAAATTCCCTGCAACAAAATTCTTGAAGAGCATTTCGACGACGTGCATTCCAAATTGGCCTGACAAGAATGTACCGACGTTATTTATTTATCATAATGGAAGTATGGTGAAGCAGATGATCGGACCCATCGAGCTTCGTGGAATGAAACTCACTGAAGCTGGTAAACTTATCAATTGTGTTCATTAGTGTTTAGATTACTGACAGAATATTGTGGATTGGGGCAATCGTCCTGAGTTATGGAGTCTGATGATGAAAGATGCATCAATAATGGAATTTTTTATTACTTTCGAACAGAATTGGAGTGGATGCTGGGTCAAGTTGAAGCAGTCCCTACGAAAATCAAGGAAGACCCCAAGCCAAAAGTCAGGGACGTTCTATTCTCCAATCTGAGAGGGGCCAACGATGTTGATGACGTTGGTGACAGCAACGACTGGTGACATGACTCATTCGAGTGAGAGGTGTTAACCGACTCTGACTGTGGACGTTCGTTTTTCTAACATGTGGAATAAATTTTTTATTGAATAAAGTACTCATGATTGATATGTCTGCATTTTATGTATTCACATTTTATGCAACTGGTCGTTTTGGCTCAAAACTGCTCAACTATAATATGATACAACCAATTCAGTAGCGAAGCGGTAAAACGGGTTAAGTCGATTTTGACTTATGGTCCGTTTTTGATTAATATCTCGAAATCTAAAAGAGATAGCAAAATTTTTCTCATGACCTTTTTTGCAGGGTCAATTGAGGGTTATAAAAAAGGTTCTAACAGAAATTGTTCTATCTCTTTTAGATTCCGAGATATTCGTCAAAAACTGGGCAATAGTCAAAATCGACTTAACCCGGTTTACCGCTTCGCTACTGAATTCATTTTTTTATAAACTACTAAACAGAAAACCATTTAAATTTCTACATATCATCTCAATTATGGAAATTATTTTTCCTGTTATATATATTTCGAAAAAGCTCCTCCGGGCCATCATCCGGTGAAAATGAAATTTCTCAAAAAACTGCAAACTAAACTAATTGCAGATAAAATTAAATGAGAAAAATAACAGAATACAGTTAAAAAATCACTCAATCTCAAAAAGATCCTGAAATCCATAAATTTGTTTTATTCGAATATATATCAGCAAATTTATAACAATTTTCATTTCACATTTACCATATTACATAATAACATACTAAGGAAGACAAAGAAAGGAAAACTGCTCAACTATAATATGATACAATCATTTCATTTTTCTATAAACTAAACATGAAACTATTTGAATCTCCATACATCACCTCAATTATTCACTTTATTCTTCCTGTTATATATATTTCGAAAAAAGCTCGATTAAGCTCTGTCCATCATCCGGCGACAAAAGCGCGATTAAAGATGAACATTTCATAATTTTATGAAGCATATCGACAGTCCCTCTCATGCGCAAATTTCCTCGCAGGCTCTATCATCTCGTAGCAGCCATAATGTTCGAATCTGCAGTGTTCCCTCCTGTAGTTACACTTCTCCTCGTGAGTTTCCTTCCTGGACCTTCTCGGCTCCACTTGGCAGCCGAATTCGGCCCAACGACAAGGCAATTTCTCATCCGGATCATAAACAGGTTTACAAATTTGAATGTACCCTTCCTCGTCCGATTCTTCGTGATGTTTTCCGTAGTTGCACTTCTCCTCGTGTATGTGCTTCCTCCTCCGTGGCATCTCCACTTGGCAGCCGAATTCGGCCCAACGGCAAGGCAATTTCTCATCCGGATCATAAACAGGTTCACAAATTTGAATGCACCCTTCCTCGTCCGATTCTTCGTGACCTCTTCCGTGATTGCACTTCTCCTCGTGTATGCGCTTCCTCCTCCGTGGCACCTGGACCTGACAGCCGTATCTGCTGAACCTGCACTCGACCAACTCCTCCGGGTCGTAACAATCCTCCTCGAAATGCAGATGCTCCAGCCCATCCTGGATTCCCTCCAATTCCTCCATTTTATCTTTGTAGATGCAAAGTTTCTCGTGGACTAGCTTCCTCCAGACTGGCAGTCGCACGTTGCATCCGGCAATGTGGTATCTGCAATCCTCCAGGGTTGACTCGTCTACATTGAGGTCTGTTGGTAAATGTTCACGCTCCAAATTTGGGCGAAATTGGCATCTCGTCTCGTGGATCGAACGGAGATGCTCTGGGACCTGGACATAGCAGCCCAAGTACTTGTATTGACAGGCGCGGAGTTCTTGGTCTTCGGTGGGCACTGGAGGATAGTGTCTTTCGTTGTCCAAGAACGGTGCACTTGCGGCAGGACTAATAATCGTTAAGAAATTGCTCATTTATTACTAAATATTAAAATTGAATGATGTAGTACAATACCAATACTTGATAATTATTATTCATTATCGAAAAATTATCTAGGTTCTAAACTTAATATTGGAAGTTTAAAAAAAAATCTCTAAATCTGAGTTAATTTAAACATTATAAAGAGAATCAATAGAAGACTTTCCATATGCTTCACTTGGTTTTCGCACTTGCGGCAGGACTAATAATCATTAAGAAAATGTTCAGTCATTACTAAATATTAAAATTGAATGATGTAGTACAATACCAATACTTGATAATTATTACTCATTATCAAAAAATTATACCATGTTGCGGCCAGAAAAATAATTATTGATGAATGGGCAATATTTCGAATGTTTATGATGGAAAAATTACTTATTTAAATCCTAAACTTGAAATTAGAAAATAAAAAAAAAATTCTCTAAACTTAAGATAATTTGAACGCTGTAAATACCTTCAATTAAAGCCTTTCCATATGCTTCACTTAGTATTCCCTGTACTTTTACCAACATTTATACACCTGAGGCTGCTCCCTCGATCCACTCAAACCGATCGTTTGTAGGTGTCTCATAATTAAGAATAAACTTACCCAGAAGGACAAGGTGGGTATGGGTGTGGCATGTATTGTCCAGCCGGTGGCATATGGTACCCCCCGTCAACCTCTCGTGGTGGAATTTCTGGGCCCAATGGAGATCGGCAAGTTGGGCACGAGTGATAATACGGCTTGCATCGGTGACACAGAATATGGTGCTGTGCACACGAATACTTGGGCGTGCCCGTCATCTCCATCATGCAGATTGGACAGACATTCTCACTCCTGAACTTGTCGTGGAGACTGGGATAAACACCTGCCATGATCTGTTAATAAGAACCGTCAAGTGTTCTTATTCTTTTCTGAATACTGTTGAGTATAAATATAATACTTGTATCAGCAGTGAATATAATTTCACAAACTGAGACTGAAGGAAGTTGAATAAAATCGCAAATTCAACCTGTCATACTTACTTTTTAGAAGTTATCTTATCTTCCAGGAGGAAAAAAATCGTCGCAACAGTTGGAATTGGAGTGTTGGCGGATCGCAGAGGACGATTCAGTCAAGCTTTGTCATAACGTTATCTTCGATGAGTGATAACAGACGTCGGGTTGACATAAAGTCTCTGACAACACCTTATTTACAAAGCCGCTAATGTGGGGAAACGGAGAACGATTTGGAGGAAAGAATTGGGTTGCCCATTGATATGGTAATAACTGATGATGCTCTCCATTCTAGATGAATAATCTGTGACATGTATCGAATGGGAGTCACATGAAGTATTGAAATAATGAGGATTGTCATGACTGCTGTTACATTCCATAATGTTTATTTTATTGTCCACCCTCATGACTATGATTATTATTTTTGTTTATGATTTTGAGTCATGGGATATTGGAAATCAGTATACAATACTAATTAAATGTCAGATCACGATGTTTCGATTTTTATTGAATCTTCCTCAGGCTCTTGACAGCACTAGCATCTGGTTCCATTAATAGTAAACATTTTCCCGTAGGAAGATGAATACATAAAATCCATGAATGTCAATTCTTATATACAATATGCCTGACAGAACAAAACCCTATAAAAAATCTGGAGAAGATTTAATAAAAATCGAAACGTCGTGATTTGACAATTAATTAGTATTATATACTGATTTCCAATATCCCATGACTAAAAATCATTGTATTCCATAATGATCGAAACGCCTATTTTCTATTTGAAAATGCAGATTTGTATCTTTCCCTTCTGCAACTGGAGTCAAAATCTGAGTCTTTGGCAGTGAAAATTCAATGATTTTTCTGATCAATACAAAAATCAAAGCTTAATTTTTGCATAATTTTTTTACATTGCAACTGAGATAAATGTAAAAAGTAAAAAGTAAACTCATGAGCAGAATAGGTGAAGGCCCCAGCGATATCGAAATTTCAGTGCGGTGGCCCTTGAGAAAATACCGGCCCGAGATTATGGAATTTCTTCTGAATCTCTCTGTATTATAAAAATCCAAATCGACTTCTGGTGATAAAAATTTTGGTATTCGAAATTAAAACTCCACAATTAAGGGTCGCAAGGGTTAAAATAAGGGTCACGAGGGTGAAAAAAATGGTCATGAGGGTCAGATTAAGGGTCACGAGGGGTATAATGAGGGTCACAAGATTAAGGGTCAGATGAAAGGTCACCAGCTCACTCAATCACCAGCAATAGATAACACAGAAGTAGTGAATTTGCTTGCGGCAGATACCCGAAATTTCTGCTCTATCGGTTACCAATACTTAAAAAATTTCTGTCTGAATTTCCCGTATTGAATCACGAATATTTTTATGAACCGACATTTCTATTGAAATTTTAGGGAATCATATTACTGAGAAATAAGCAAGTAGAGTCCAATTTCTAGTGATGAATCGTCCGATGAGTTGAGGTAGGGGAAATTCAACTACAGCTGTTAGAGAAATGATCCACATGGAAAAAATATATATCCATAAATATATGTCACTTATATCCGCTTATATGTGGTATACTTTCCGGCAAAAAATGGAATATTTGAGATACATGTTGGATATATGTGTGTACATATATGCCACCGGGTACACCTAGCATAAACCTGGTATACAAGGCGGATATATTCAATATATAATTCCGGCAAAATCACTATATCTCACTTATAAGTTTTGGCTTACATTTTTTCTATGCGGGGAGTCATCTCATTCCATTTGTGTTTTCAACTGCTGGCTGTCTACCAACAGTAGCACTTACAAATGATTTTTTGAATGACAATCATCATTACTTCAATAATGATCGAATTTTCCACTCCACATTCGGAGAAACGAGGTCATTTTTTAATTATTAGTTGAGTTCTTACTCTACATTTCCAGTATTTAGAGTGATGCCTATGTCATCTTTTCCGAGTAATTGGAAACAGTCATTTTCTCGATCATCATGGATGCCGTTTAAGGAATTTAGCTTGATGAAAGAGATGACATTTTTGTTTCCGAACTTACCCATCGGAAATATTGGTCAAAGCCTCATAAGACAACTGCATAATATGAAATTCTTCTTCTGACATTTTTGAAGAAATAGATTTCCTCACCTCATCTGCCTTATCTAAAACTTTGAATACGTGAGAGGAATCTTTTCGAAATAAAGTATCCACGACTAAAATAATTATATTTTCACTCCTTTAGTCCCCTGTATTTCCACAATAATAGAATTAACAATAATTCATTTGGGTTCTAAAATATCATTGGTATTATAATTTTATTCTACAACAATACATTTCAAAACGCATAAAAATCTAAGAGTTTCATATCATAGTCGTGTAGACGAAACGAGTCATAAAATAATATTGGTTGAAGAATATTCTTGAATAAATGCCTTTTTTAATAAACAATAACTTGATTACAAGAATTAAAGTGAAATAAATAATAAAGGAGTAGAAAAACAAAAGGACACGTCCGCAGAAAAATGCACGAGACGAAAGAATAAAGATCGTACATGAAGATCATTGAGAGGGAGGAGAAGAACAAATACCTAACAATATTATATACGTCGACTCTACAGCTACGATCCTACATATAAAGCAACCTATCCTCACAGAGATCTAGCATAAAGGAAAAATAAATTGAAGAAGGATAATCGATGAATAAATTAAACTTCACTCAGAGAAAGAATTTCCCAATTATAATTCTACAATCATTAAATTGCACAAACATGTGACCTTACTGCACTAATATCGTACCGCGAGCGAGGGATACTCGGTATGTCATTAAGGGTTTCGCTAAGTAAATAAGCGCTCAATTTTCCAACAAAAATAATGAGGAACTGGAAATGCTACATATTCCGTCTCTGCAATGGCACAAACCTTAAAAATATAATTCAGCCCTGAATTACAACATCGACGTAATATTGAGGTGACTGAGCCCCGTTGATGCGATATTAACCCAACGAAATTCAACTACGTGTAGTCGATCCCATAATATCTCTCCTGGAACCATGAATGTGATGTTGCCCCCAGGATGTAACGTTAGATTTGCGAACGGATCGAATTCCTGCCTCAGAAACACGAAATGCATAACGAGATTAGCCTGATACTAAACACCAACCACCACGATAGTAATTGTGTTCCAAAATTGGGGAGTAATTAATTGAATTGAATCATTTCGGGCATTGAGCCGGTTTCGTACTGTAGATTCCGCAGTCTGACAAATTTACTTGACATTTCATTTTAGTAGTCCGATACACGCACGTGAAAGCTCACCATGATTGCGGAGTTTGCTCTATCATTACAGTCCACAAAAACTATTGTAACGGCAGTTACTACAGAATAACAGTGAACTACTTCAACATCCATTGTGCCAACCATAAAGGGTTCAGTCTCCGGAACTATTGTTTAGGATTTGTCATTAACTCTCAGAGCCACGAGAACCGACAAATACGACATAGACTTCAAAACGTACTAGAAAAGATAAATTCGCTCAATTATTCGTTTTTCCATGGCACGTCAATCACTGCCTTACCTCTTTGAAGAGTTCCAGAGACATGACAAAAAATTTTGCAGCTGTGATATGACAGGGTCGTATCTGCGCCTGACGAATAATCATAATCAAGTCTTTACTGACTTTCTTCTTACTGGATATGTGCTGATGGAATGCAGTGTAACCGATATTTATACTCTTCTCTTTCAACTTGTCCCCCAACCAGCAGTAGATGAAGAAACTCGAGTCCATGGTAAATAGGAAGAATACGTTCACCACCAAAAATATAAAGTTGCCGTCTTCTTTGAGCTAAAAAAAAGTTCTCCAATTACGTGAATCTAGGATAAATTAATTTGATGATTCAATAGACCTTGCGTATTGTGTAACCAATGCAGATAAAGTGACCAGTGCAAATAATCATCCTGGCGAACATGACTACGTGAAATGCATCATCAAATAGGGATATCATCCTGAAACAGTTGATAATAACTATCGATAATGAAAGACCAAACGAGAATTCATCAGTTATTGATACTGAAACTTTTGATATGAATTATTACTTGAATATTCGCAAATGGTAATTAACAATGCAATGCAAACAGCTACAGCCCATTATGACCCTCTTTTCATCATCAACCGAGTCAGATGTGTGATGACGAATCCCTTTGTAGTGACTTATCACATTTGCGAGTATTTCAAGTTGGCCGCAGCAGTGAAAAATCAGCCATATGATGCAGCAATCGATAGAGGAAAATATTAAAGCTGCCGAGCAGTGGAACACATATTGGATTACGTATGTTATCTCGAACATTGGTGATACTGATGCGTTGAATGGATGACGGGCATTATTTGGATGTGCGAGGGGAAATTTGGAGGGGAAAGCTAGGTGGATTAGAATAGGTTGAAGAGTGAAAACTGAAACGAATCAAGTGGGAAATTGCTTTCGTCATAACATAATCAAAATATTATGGCTAATAAATTAGCGATTTGCTTCCGAATGGATCGCATGATCGGTCACACACGCACATGCTCACACATACATACATACATAATTAGTCATCCGGCCAAAATTTTACGAATACAATGCTCCGATTCGGCAGCAAAAGTATGACAATGACCTAGTTCTACCACTGATGACATTCAACTGCGAGCTAGCAGTATTTGATTTTAGTAATATTACGGAATTTTGTGTAATCAATTCGTCAATTATTGCCCACTGAATAATGCAGTAATCCAATCATCTCATATTAATATGTCAAATGATGTTGTCATCTCTCACATTGACATAATTACGATGCATACTCACCGATTAAGGATACACCAGATACAAAATATATGCATCGCGTAATGCGTCTCTCCAGACCTCCATACGATACCATAATACCCTTGATATCCGCGGATAATCCATCAAATTCCCTCCAATTTTGTTGGATGCATTCAATCAACGGTTTGATGTTATGCCACTGGGCTCTGAAGATATTGTGATCAACGACAATCAGAACGATTCCCAGCCATACGAAAATCTTATCAATTTTGCTAGTCACCGACGGCTCTAGCACTATACTCGCGAGAAAAACGGAAAATAGATAGATTTGCATGAATTCGTTCACGATGAAGAGAAATGTTTGATGTTGGCCACCCGGCCATAGACCTATCAGTTTCAGGACTGGTTTTGTTATCCCCACTTCCCAGTCGAAGTGCTTTCTCTCAACATCGGCTGCCCGATTTCTTCCTGACAAATTATTTTCCATCGTAAATCCAAAGTTAGACTGAAAGAGTGCTTCGCTGTTACGTGAATACTCCGCAGCTTGTCAGTGCACGCTCCTTCGTTCAATGCTTAGTTATCTTCGTCCATAAATCATGTCGATAGGATGAAAAAGGTAGAATCAATGGAGTTGGCTGATGAGTAATTAAGATTAGATGTATTTCGAAATGGTTTTGAAATTATGTCCCTCGCAGCAGAAGGTCTTCTTCTCATTGATTCCACTGGCTGACTACTCGATCATGTTTCGCGATGAGCCATTTTCTACAATCGTTTGTCGCCTTCATTATCTCGCACGATCGTCAAATTATCGAAAATTACCGGTTTCACTGGCACGTAAATAAACCTTGAGCGTGAGTAATTATTTACTAATGGGGGGTCCTTATATTGGAGCAGTCTTGTGTGCCGTGTTACTGGACAGCAGGGGTGTCGTTTGCTCGGCACACATGATCAGGCCAAAATGTCAATACTTGCTTGAACTCAGATCTTCGACAAGTGAGATTAATTCCTTGGTAATGGGCCATTTGGATTCTTTAGTGAGTCACTATTATTCATTTCACACACGATAATTTGCGTTTTGCCGTAGCATTACTGCATGATGTAGAAGATTTTTTTTTGAGTTTTTCGTGGTTGACGTAGAAAGGATACAGGATAATTAAGCCTAGATTGGTCGCCATATGAGGGAAACCCCGCCGCACGCCGTTTTTCTTTAATTACAATTGACTGGATAACCGAAAAAATTCGAAAATATTTGACTTTGTCAATTGAAGTGTCTAAAGAATTATAGTAGTTTTTAGAACAACACTAAACAACACTAGAACAACACTAAATATGGCACTTTGGCTCCGGGTGAAAAAAAAAATTTTTTTTATTTCTGCATTTCTGGGGCAAGTGAGGGTCTCAGTGGCATTAGGCGGGCCAGAAAATACAGAATCGACTTTCACTCGGCGGAAAAATTCGATTTTGGCGAAAGTCGACTTTCCCCCCGAAAAAAGCCTAAATATGGCACTTTGGCTCTGGGTGCAAAAAAAAAATTTTTTTATTTCTGCATTTCCGGGGCAAGTGAGGGTCTCAGTGGCATTAGGCGGGCCAGAAAATACAGAATCAGCGTTCACCCGGCGGAAAAATTCGATTTTGGCGAAAGTCGACTTTCCCCCCGAAAAAAGCCTAAATATGGCACTTTGGCTCTGGGTGCAAAAAAAAAATTTTTTTATTTCTGCATTTCCGGGGCAAGTGAGGGTCTCAGTGGCATTAGGCGGGCCAGAAAATACAGAATCAGCGTTCACCCGGCGGAAAAATTCGATTTTGGCGAAAGTCGACTTTCCCCCCGAAAAAAGCCTAAATATGGCACTTTGGCTCTGGGTGCAAAAAAAAAATTTTTTTATTTCTGCATTTCCGGGGCAAGTGAGGGTCTCAGTGGCATTAGGCGGGCCAGAAAATACAGAATCAGCGTTCACCCGGCGGAAAAATTCGATTTTGGCGAAAGTCGACTTTCCCCCCGAAAAAAGCCTAAATATGGCACTTTGGCTCTGGGTGCAAAAAAAAAATTTTTTTATTTCTGCATTTCCGGGGCAAGTGAGGGTCTCAGTGGCATTAGGCGGGCCAGAAAATACAGAATCAGCGTTCACCCGGCGGAAAAATTCGATTTTGGCGAAAGTCGACTTTCCCCCCGAAAAAAGCCTAAATATGGCACTTTGGCTCTGGGTGCAAAAAAAAAATTTTTTTATTTCTGCATTTCCGGGGCAAGTGAGGGTCTCAGTGGCATTAGGCGGGCCAGAAAATACAGAATCAGCGTTCACCCGGCGGAAAAATTCGATTTTGGCGAAAGTCGACTTTCCCCCCGAAAAAAGCCTAAATATGGCACTTTGGCTCTGGGTGCAAAAAAAAAATTTTTTTATTTCTGCATTTCCGGGGCAAGTGAGGGTCTCAGTGGCATTAGGCGGGCCAGAAAATACAGAATCAGCGTTCACCCGGCGGAAAAATTCGATTTTGGCGAAAGTCGACTTTCCCCCCGAAAAAAGCCTAAATATGGCACTTTGGCTCTGGGTGCAAAAAAAAAATTTTTTTATTTCTGCATTTCCGGGGCAAGTGAGGGTCTCAGTGGCATTAGGCGGGCCAGAAAATACAGAATCAGCGTTCACCCGGCGGAAAAATTCGATTTTGGCGAAAGTCGACTTTCCCCCCGAAAAAAGCCTAAATATGGCACTTTGGCTCTGGGTGCAAAAAAAAAATTTTTTTATTTCTGCATTTCCGGGGCAAGTGAGGGTCTCAGTGGCATTAGGCGGGCCAGAAAATACAGAATCAGCGTTCACCCGGCGGAAAAATTCGATTTTGGCGAAAGTCGACTTTCCCCCCGAAAAAAGCCTAAATATGGCACTTTGGCTCTGGGTGCAAAAAAAAAATTTTTTTATTTCTGCATTTCCGGGGCAAGTGAGGGCCTCAGTGGCATTAGGCGGGCCAGAAAATACAGAATCAGCGTTCACCCGGCGGAAAAATTCGATTTTGGCGAAAGTCGACTTTCCCCCCGAAAAAAGCCTAAATATGGCACTTTGGCTCTGGGTGCAAAAAAAAAATTTTTTTATTTCTGCATTTCCGGGGCAAGTGAGGGCCTCAGTGGCATTAGGCGGGCCAGAAAATACAGAATCAGCGTTCACCCGGCGGAAAAATTCGATTTTGGCGAAAGTCGACTTTCCCCCCGAAAAAAGCCTAAATATGGCACTTTGGCTCTGGGTGCAAAAAAAAAATTTTTTTATTTCTGCATTTCCGGGGCAAGTGAGGGCCTCAGTGGCATTAGGCGGGCCAGAAAATACAGAATCGACTTTCACTCGGCGGAAAAATTCGATTTTGGCGAAAGTCGACTTTCCCCCCGAAAAAAGCCTAAATATGGCACTTTGGCTCCGGGTGAAAAAAAAAATTTTTTTATTTCTGCATTTCTGGGGCAAGTGAGGGTCTCAGTGGCATTAGGCGGGCCAGAAAATACAGAATCGACTTTCACTCGGCGGAAAAATTCGATTTTGGCGAAAGTCGACTTTCCCCCCGAAAAAAGCCTAAATATGGCACTTTGGCTCCGGGTGAAAAAAAAAATTTTTTTATTTCTGCATTTCTGGGGCAAGTGAGGGTCTCAGTGGCATTAGGCGGGCCAGAAAATACAGAATCGACTTTCACTCGGCGGAAAAATTCGATTTTGGCGAAAGTCGACTTTCCCCCCGAAAAAAGCCTAAATATGGCACTTTGGCTCCGGGTGAAAAAAAAAATTTTTTTATTTCTGCATTTCTGGGGCAAGTGAGGGTCTCAGTGGCATTAGGCGGGCCAGAAAATACAGAATCGACTTTCACTCGGCGGAAAAATTCGATTTTGGCGAAAGTCGACTTTCCCCCCGAAAAAAGCCTAAATATGGCACTTTGGCTCCGGGTGAAAAAAAAAATTTTTTTATTTCTGCATTTCTGGGGCAAGTGAGGGTCTCAGTGGCATTAGGCGGGCCAGAAAATACAGAATCGACTTTCACTCGGCGGAAAAATTCGATTTTGGCGAAAGTCGACTTTCCCCCCGAAAAAAGCCTAAATATGGCACTTTGGCTCCGGGTGAAAAAAAAAATTTTTTTATTTCTGCATTTCTGGGGCAAGTGAGGGTCTCAGTGGCATTAGGCGGGCCAGAAAATACAGAATCGACTTTCACTCGGCGGAAAAATTCGATTTTGGCGAAAGTCGACTTTCCCCCCGAAAAAAGCCTAAATATGGCACTTTGGCTCCGGGTGAAAAAAAAAATTTTTTTATTTCTGCATTTCTGGGGCAAGTGAGGGTCTCAGTGGCATTAGGCGGGCCAGAAAATACAGAATCGACTTTCACTCGGCGGAAAAATTCGATTTTGGCGAAAGTCGACTTTCCCCCCGAAAAAAGCCTAAATATGGCACTTTGGCTCCGGGTGAAAAAAAAAATTTTTTTATTTCTGCATTTCTGGGGCAAGTGAGGGTCTCAGTGGCATTAGGCGGGCCAGAAAATACAGAATCGACTTTCACTCGGCGGAAAAATTCGATTTTGGCGAAAGTCGACTTTCCCCCCGAAAAAAGCCTAAATATGGCACTTTGGCTCCGGGTGAAAAAAAAAATTTTTTTATTTCTGCATTTCTGGGGCAAGTGAGGGTCTCAGTGGCATTAGGCGGGCCAGAAAATACAGAATCGACTTTCACTCGGCGGAAAAATTCGATTTTGGCGAAAGTCGACTTTCCCCCCGAAAAAAGCCTAAATATGGCACTTTGGCTCCGGGTGAAAAAAAAAATTTTTTTATTTCTGCATTTCTGGGGCAAGTGAGGGTCTCAGTGGCATTAGGCGGGCCAGAAAATACAGAATCGACTTTCACTCGGCGGAAAAATTCGATTTTGGCGAAAGTCGACTTTCCCCCCGAGAAAAGCCTAAATATGGCACTTTGGCTCCGGGTGAAAAAAAAAAATTTTTTATTTCTGCATTTCTGGGGCAAGTGAGGGTCTCAGTGGCATTAGGCGGGCCAGAAAATACAGAATCGACTTTCACTCGGCGGAAAAATTCGATTTTGGCGAAAGTCGACTTTCCCCCCGAGAAAAGCCTAAATATGGCACTTTGGCTCCGGGTGAAAAAAAAAAATTTTTTATTTCTGCATTTCTGGGGCAAGTGAGGGTCTCAGTGGCATTAGGCGGGCCAGAAAATACAGAATCGACTTTCACTCGGCGGAAAAATTCGATTTTGGCGAAAGTCGACTTTCCCCCCGAGAAAAGCCTGCATATGACCCTTTGAAAAAAACCTACATATGACGATTCTTTCTTTGTCTCTTTGCGTTCTAGTCTGATGCACGAAGGAAACACGATAATTTATACAATTTCTCAATTTAACAAATCCTAGTAATTGTCACAAAATGGAAAATTCATCCGATCACAGATTGTCCAAATCATCCTCTCGGTTCTTGGAATCATACGCAAAAAATTACTCAAACTATATCAGTTGTAAGACTGCGTATAATG